TTCCACTCCTTTACCCTCAAACTAACCTCTATTGACCTCACCCCATTCCTAAGAGGTCTGTAAGGGACGTGCATAAGCACACAATCGTGCCTACCGTCCCTGTCCTATTGTCCCCAATTATTAGTTCCTATTTCTTGTATTTAAACTTATGTTTATTCTTGTTTCTGTTCTGTTGTAAGCTTTTGAGAAATAAATAAATAAAATAAACCTTAATAGAAGTCAGGGCTCATAGTAAAAGCTACTCAAGAGTTCTTTAGATGTTCTTGTGTCATGACATTATAAGGACAGATATACCATGCCGGCAAGGAAAACCCAAACTTACTTCCAGATGGTTGCCTTCTGCACAGTGTCAAAAGATGTTTTGAAACTATTCTATCCTACTCAACTGAGACTTTGTGGTTAAATAAAAAGAGAGAGAGAGAGAGAGAGAGAGAGAGAGAGAGAGAGAGAGTTGAAATAACCAGAAGGGTGATGAAAGAAACGGCAGGGGAAGATGGGAAAGAAAGAAACTGAAGACAACATCTGGACTAGACATTATCTCACTCCGCATTTTCAAGCCAACGTACAAACCAAGCTTATTTATCATTTGATTTTTAAATAAAAAAAAAATCCGTGGACAAAAGTATACTGGAGGGGAAAAAACATTAGAAAAATGCATGTATTCATGAAAACAAAAACACCAGGGAATTTTGTTGGCAAAAAAGCTCCAGACCTATGAGGCAACACTGCAACAAACATTCATTATTATTTTTTAATGGAATGCCGACCTACATCTATATTTCCTACAAACAGTTTTTTTAGGGGGGCGGGGGAAACCAACCACCTATTTTGACATATGCAAACAGGAGGAAAAGGAGAAAAACCCCAAATTAACTGTTAATGTGTTGCTGGTCATAAGTAAAAAAAATAAACCTGTTGTGTTGTGCACTTAGGGTTTATAACTGATGCATCTTGAGAAAGAAAGAAAGAAAGAAAGAAAGAAAGAAAGAAAGAAAGAAAGAAAGAAAGAAAGAAAGAAAGAAAGAAAGAAAGAAAGAAAGAAAGAAAGGAGAGAGAGGAGGAAGTAGGAAGGGAAGGAGCAAGGAAGGAAGGACAGAAGAAAGAGAAGGAAGGAAGGAAAGAAAGAAGAGGGAGAAAAAGGACGGAAGAAGGAAGAAAGGAAGGAAAAAAGAAAGAAAGAGGAGGAGGAGGAGGAGGGTCAAAAGGGGGAGAAAGGAAGGAAGAGAAAGAAGATGAGGGGAACGGAAGGAGCAAGGAAGGAAGGAAGAGAAAGAAAAGGAAAGAAAGAAAGAAAGAGGGAGAAGGAGGAGGAGGGAAGGGGGAGGAAGGAAGGAAGAAAAGAAAGAAGAGGAGAAGGAGGAGGAGAAGAAGGGATGGGAAGGGGAGGAAGAAAGAAAGAAAGAAAGAAAGAAAGAAAGAAAGAAAGAAAGAAAGAAAGAAAATTCCTCACGGGTTCATTTACAGAAAGATTTTGTTTAACAAAGACTCTTCCCCAAATTCGGACCAAATGTTTTGCAGCCCTGAAAATGCTCAGCCTTAAATAGCAGGCATTGCAAAGCAAGCATTTTATTACCAACGGTCTTTTCAATCTCCACATTTCATGCCGATATCTCTTATATATATATAAATAAATAGAGTAATCACTTTAAGCAGGAAAGAAATCGCAGTGGGGTCATATGTTTGCTTGCCACAAGTTATATTAGCTATAAAGTAGCCAGCAAATATATTACATTTTTTAAAAAAAAGGACTTCAGAGAAATGTAACGCCAGTGATTATGCCTAAAGGGGTTTTAAGATGATGAGACAGTGAGCCAATTAACTTTATTTGCCTTACAGAAAATTGGTTGAATCATGTTCAGGTTTGCACTATTTGCATTTCAAGACCTTGAAACAGCTGGGTAGGGTTGGAAATAGATTTTGCAAAGGGGGAAAGAAAAGGTAGAATTGTCCATGAAAAGATACATCCTTTATAATCTGCTTTCTCTTGTAGGAAGTTAGCACCCACCCCTCTCCTAGGAAAATGAAATATTTTAGGATATACTAAAAAGGCAGAATATTTCCCCTAAAAAGAGAAGTAGAAACTCAGAAGCAGGAACTCATCTCAAAAACAGAATTCACCTTCACCTTTGTTAATGGGGGGGCCATTAAGGCCTGGGCCAAAGTATTCTACATAACAAAGCCCTCTGCCCATCTCACCACATGACCTGGGAAGATTACATCAGCCAGCACTCAGGTGAAGCCATGTAGTCCAGACCAGTAGTCACCAACCAGTGGGCCGGGGACCATTGGTGGTCCATGAAAAAATTTTGGTGGTCCGCAGAGAAATGTCGCCCCAAAAATAATTAATCCAGGCTGCATGGGAACTCAAGGCTGCACCACCCACATGGCCTGTGGGAACACAAAGGTTGCATCACTTGCATTGCAAACAACACAAGGTAGTGAGGGGAGGGGGGAAAGGGCAAAGGGGGGCAACTTGCCCCACGCGCCCCATGCATCTGGCCTGGCCATTGGGCTGCTTCTTTCCACTTCTTTCTTCTTCTGCTTTTGGCTGCACTCAAGGAAAGCAGCAAAAGACTTTCTTTCTCTCCCCCAAACTCTGCCACAAATGAGTCTTTGGGACCCTGCAAGGCCTCCTGCTCCAAGAGGCTGCACCGGCAAACACTCATTTCTGACAGAGTTTGGGGGAGAGAAAGAAAGACTTCTGCTGCTTCTGCTGCTTTCCTTGCATGAAGCCAAAAGTCTCTCTCTCTCCCCCTGAGAATGGAGCTGGAGACGTTATCCTGCAATCCCAAATAAAGAATGACCAATTGGTAGAAAAACAGAGTGGGGAATTTTCCTGCAGACTTTTGGGTGGATTTTCCCAGGGTATCTGCTGCTTTTTGCAGAGACCCTGGGAAAACATCGGCAAGCCACCGTCAGTCAAAATTCATATTAGTGGTCCGCGGGATTTAAAATTATGAATTTGGTGGTCCCTGAGGTCCAAAAGGTTGGCGACCCCTGGTCCAGACAAAGCCTACAAAGTTAGCTAAGACCACCACCCCTGGGAGTCTGAAAGCTAATGGGATACATTTCTTACACAGGAACAGGAAACACTAAGGTGGGGCCAAACAGAAGGTATAAAACTAAGGGTCGCTCAGCATCTTGGCTCCTTCGTTTCCTTCACCTTGAAGCATGCGATTGTCCTTTTCACTTTGGAGCTCGAAGCCATGAGGTCCTGTCCACCATTAAACCATCTTTCCAAACAGCCTCCATGTTTCTAGTGGTCTTTTTCCCTACTTGGAACTGAACCCAGAAGGATATTTCTTCCAACACTCTGCCAAAGAAGGCACATTTTATTTTATTTTTATTTTTTGCCATTTTTAAGCTGGGGAGAGAGAATGGGGCGCATCTAGTGTGGGAACTGGGGGGGGGGGAAAGAAATTAGTAGAATAAAATTTGTTGGAACTTGGAAACAACCGGGTCTGTGGGGATCGCACATGTGTGGGATGAAAGACACACAGAAGGGAACAGGAGGGAGCCTTCCATTTTTGCCTTTTGGCATTTCTGCTTGCACAATTAAGCATTAGAGAAAATACTTTTTTTCTTCAGACTTGTCCACTTGAAGATTTGTGGGCTTCAACTCCCAGCATGCTGGTTGGGTTGGTGGGTTGGGGGACTTCTGGGAATTGAAGTCCACACACCTTAAACTGGCTACGTTTGCAAAACGCTGGTGTTAGAGCAACGAACTGAAAAGCAGGTTTAAGGTTTGTCTGCTGAGGGGGCTCGCAGATTTATGCAGAAATCTCCTGCCTACAAAATTCAGGCTGTTGCGTTGCTTCTTTTTCGGGAGTTGTTGCTTGACAGGTTCACGCAACAAGAATGGCAAAGAGCTCGGCCCAGCCATCTTTATTCCTGGGAGGTGAGCCAAGATGTTTAACTTTGGGAGGTCTCAGCAGGAATCAAGCATTATTAAAAACAATCTCCTCCTTTGTCGTGAAAGAAATTTCGGGGTAGTGGTTAAGGCATCAGGTTAGAAACTAGGAGAGTGTGAGTAAGGCTGGTCCCACCTAAGGTGTAAAAGCCAGCTGAGTGACATTGGATCAGTCACCAGGAGAGTGTGAGTTCTAGTTTCACCATAGGTATGAAAGCTGGCTGGGTGACTTTGGGCCAACCATCAGGAGACACTGAGTTCTAGTCGCACCTTAGGCACAAAAGCTAGCTGGGTGGCCTTGGGCCAATCACCAGGAGACAATGAGTTCTAGTCCCGTCTTATGTATAAAAGCCTACAAAAACTAGGAGACTATGAGTAAGGCTGGTCCTACCTTAGGTGCAAAAGCTAGCTGGGTGATGTTGGGTCAATCACCAGGTGACTGTGAATTCTAGTTTCACCAGAAAGTTGGCTGGGTGACTTTGGGCCAATCACCAAGAGACAGTGAGTTCTAGTCCCACCTTAGGTATAAAAGCCAGCCGGGTGATCTTGGGCCAATCACCAGAAGAGTGTGAGTTCTGGTCTCTGCTTAGGCATAAAAGCCAGTTGGGAGGCTTTGGCATTTTGATTCGGGAACATAGAAGCAATTCGGGGCATGCCATTTTCCTGCCACTAAAAGCAACCTTCTCTCCCCTATGACAGAACTACGAAGAGATCCGCAAAGCCCTCGAGCAGTGCAGCATCGGGAACGACATCGAGTGTTTTGTACATATTCGCAAGACCGGCAACCTCCCTCCAGGTAAAGAGATGGATGCCCGAGATCTCCGTTTCAAACGGTGCTCAATTCCAGTCTTTAAAACACGGTTCTGTAAAGGAATTTGGAGGTGATTTGGGGAGAGGGAGGGGAAAGATATAAGAGATTCGTGGAAGAGGAAGAAAAGACGACAGTCCAGAGCTAGAAAGGAAAGAATGAGAAAGAAACTCTAGGTAACCCTGTCTTGACTTTCTTTAGCATAAGAGGCGATAATGAGAAACTTGGACGGGCTTTCAAGTTTCTGTTATTATACCCGACTGCAACCTCAGAATCCTCCTGTGCCTCCTCCTTGATCTGGTTTGAACTCGAAAGGCTGATATCAATTTTAAACATTTGTCTCTCACTGCTTCCTCTTACTCCACTCCATTTCATTTTTTTCTGGCTGTACAGCAAATTATATAGCAAGATTCATAATCGGGGTAGTTATATCCATCCATATAACAGTCAATACAGCTGCTTCACAAGCTCTACAATACTCCCGAGTCACCCGTTTGGCTTAGGATTAAGGCACTAGGCTACAAACCAGAAGACTGTGAGTTCTAGTTCTGGAAGCCTGTTGGGTGACTTTGGGCCACTCCCCAGGAGATGTTGTAAGTCAAGGACTACCTGTGTAGTGTTTATTGTCGGCGCTAGAAGTGGGAACCCAGCGGAGAGTCACAAATGCATTTCAGCATTAAAAGTGTGCCACAATTGTTGTCGGGATGGACTTGAAGTCTCGTCCACTGAATAAAATGCAAATTGGGACTTTGTGGCTTTAATCGTAATCATACTTGATTAAAAGCAGGGATTGCCTTCTCTCGTTCTTGCAATAACCTCGTTTTTTGCGGGCAGTTAATAATTAATTTAGAAGAATTACCATTTCAGTAAGTCAGGACCCATTATTTATTCAATGTAATTAAAGAATTTATTAGGCGACTAATCAGTTGTAGACACCAGGCGTGTGTGTGTGTGTGTGTGTGTGTGTGCAAGGTGGCGAACGATTCATTTTTATCAGCTAACCCCGACCTGTGTTTGAAAATAGTTACACTTGTTTTCACAGAATGTATTAATACATTAATTGACATCCAGACAATTAGGAGGCAGAAAAAATAGAAGTGGATCTCCAAATCACACACGCCTTGCCTTGCTCTTAAATAGCAACAGCACTTATATACCGCTTCACACTGCTTTACAGCCCTCTCTAAACAGTTTCCCAATGTCAGCCTCTTGCCCTCAACAATTTGGCTCCTCATTTTACCCACCTCAGAAGGATGGAAAGCTGAGTCAACCTTGAGCTGGTCAGGATCGAACTGTTGGCAGTCGGCATAATTAGCCTGCAATACTGCACCCTAATCACCATGCCACTCCAGCTCCTTGTGCAACAAAGAATATAAATTTAAATTTAAAAATGCAACGTATTCCTGTTTCTATCATGAGGGTGACAAACCTACTATTCTTAATTTTTTTTTATCATTTTTTGATATTTCACGGTAAATAACAGAATAACAAAGTTTGGAAGAAAACTTGGAGGTCTTTTAGTCCCCTGCTCAAGCAGGAGACCCTATTCCCGTGATGGCAAACCTATAGCATGCGTGCCACAGGTAGCACGCAGAGCCATTTGTGGTGGCACACAAGCTGCAGGCAAATTTACCCTCACTGCTCATGTGCGTGCCTCACACCTGATTTTCAGCCGGTTTGAGTCCTTTTTGCAGCCTCCTAAAGGCTTGAGGAAGGCTTCTGCGGGCTTCTGCAAGCTTTGCAGGCCAAAAACTAGCCCTGTTTTGTCACTTCCGGTATTTTCAGAAAAACAGGAAATGACAAAATGGGGGTAGTTTTTGGCCTGCAAACCTTGCAGAAGCCTGCAGAAACCTTCCTCAAGCTTTTGGGAAGTCGAAAAAGCCTCAAACCAGCCAGTTGTTCCACTGGTTAATTATTCCCATTGTCAGGAAATTTCTCCTTAGTTGTAGGTTGCTTCTCTCCTTGATTACTTTCCATCCATTGCTTCTTGTCCTGCCTTCAGGTGCTTTGGAGAATAGCTTGACTCCCTCTTCTTTGTGGCAACCCCTCAACTACTGGAATACTGCTATCATGTCACACACACCCTAATTCTTCTTTTCTTTAGACTAGCCAAACCAATTCCTGCAACCATTCTTCATATCTTTTAATGAAGGACAGAAGATAAGAGTTGAAAGGGGTTGCCACAAAGAGGGAGTCAACCTATTCTCCAAAAGCACCTGAAGGCAGGACAAGAAGCAACAGATGGAAAGTAATCAAGGAGAGAAGCAACCTAGAACTAAGGAGGAATTTCCTGACAGTTAGAACAGTTAACCAATGGAACAACTTGCCTCCAGAAGTTGTTAATGCTCCAACATTGGAAGTTTTTAAAAAGAGGTTGGATAACCATTTGTCTGAAGTTGTGTAGGGTTTCCTGCCTAGGCAGGGGGTTGGACTAGAAGACCTCCAAGGTCCCTCCAAGTTTTGGTCACCACACTATAAAAAAAGAGGTTGAGACTAGAAAGAGTGCAGAGAAGAGCAACCAGGATGACTAGGGGACTGGAGACTAAAGCATATGAAGAACGGTTGCAGGAACTGGGCCTGGCTAGTCTAGGGAAGAGAAGGACCAGGGGAGACAGGATAGCAGTCTTCCAATATTTGAGGGGCTGCCACTGAGAGGAAGGGGTTAAACTATTTTCCAAGGCACTTGAAGGCTAGACAAGGAACAATGGATGGAAACTAAACAAGGAGGGATTCAACCTGGAAATAAGGAGAAACTTTCTGACAGGGAGAACAATCAACTAATAGAACAGAAGTTCCCTCAGGAAGTCGTGGGAGCGCCATCACTTGAGACTTTCAAGAAGAGACTGGACTGCCATTTGTCAGAATGGTGTGGGGTCTCCTGCTTGGGCGAGGGGTTGGACTAGATGATCTATAAGGTCCCTTCCAATTCTGATTATCTGTTATCTGTCCATTCCAACTCTGCTATTCTATTCTATCCATAAAGGAAAGGGACCGTGGGGGTCTTCTAGTCCAACCCCCTGCTCAAAGTTCAACCACGGGTTGTTATATGCTTCTTTTATGGCTTGGTGGCTTGTGCAGCTCCCAAACTACTGAGTTAATTTGTAGCACAGCATGTGCTGCCATCCCAGAAAATGAATTCATTCAGGAACCGAGTTGTGCATGTTGTGTGTTATTGTGTATGCTGGGCCATTGCTCTCCCATGCCACTGACTATTACTAATCACAATCTTCTTTTGACAAAAAGATTTGGTCATGTTCCAAGCGGGAATATACAGAAAAAGAATATTTATTCAGCTCATCCACCAAAGCGAACACAATTGAAATGTATTGTGTGTTTCTTTTCAATAAAATCCTGCTTCTTATTCCATTCATTTTCCTGATTACATATATTACCGGGCCTTGGATGTTGCGTTCCTACCATTTGTATTTTATTTATGTACACATCCTTTCAGGGCTTCTGTGTATCTGCATGCTTGCATTAATGTGCATGGGCGTAGAGGCATAACCAATATGTCTTCTGAAATATTTAGAAAGTCTTTACTGCAACAGTACTAACAGAGTTGGAAGGGGCCTTGGAGATCATCTAATTCACTGGTTCCCAAAGTGGGCAGTACCGCCCCCTAGGGGGCAGTGGGATGCCTTAGGGGGGCACCAAGAGGCAAGAGGGGCAGCAGGGGGTGCTAAGAGGCAAGGGTTTGAGCCGCCGGCCCCGCAGGCTTTACCACATTGACGAACCAAATTAAATTCATTGCAGAGAAAAATCCAACACTTAAGCAAGAAAAACCAAAAGGACACATATAGACTGGGTGAAACCAGGCTCAATAGCAGGAACTGTGAGAGGGATCTTGGAGTCTTAGTGGACAACCAGCTAAATATGACCCAGCAGTGTGCGACGGCAGCCAAAAAAGCTAATGCAGTCCTAAATTGTATTAACAGAGGGATACAATCAAGATCGAGTGAGGTACTGATACAACTCTATAAAGCATTAGTAAGACTACACCTAGAATATTGTATCCAGTTTTGGTCACCACACTATAAAAAGATGTTGAGGCTCTAGAAAGAGTGCAGAGAAGAACAACCAGGATGATTAGGGGACTGGAGACTAAAACATATGAAGAACTGTTACAGGAACCGGGCATGTCTAGTCTAGTGAAGAGAAGGACCAGGGGACACATGATAGCAGTCTTCCCATATTTGAGGGGCTACCACAGAGAGGAAAAGGGGTCAAGCTATTTTCTAAAGCACCTGTAGGCCAGACAAAGAATAATGGATGGAAACTGAACAAGGAGAGATTCAACCTGGAAATAAGGAGAAACCTTCTGACAATGAGAACAATCAACCCATGGAACAGAAGTTGCCCTCGGAAGTTGTGGGAGCGCCATCACTTGAGACTTTCAAGAAGAGATTGGACTGCCATTTGTCAGAAATGATGTAGGGTCTTCCGCTTGGATAGGGGGTTGGAGTAGATGACCTACAAGGTCCCTTCCAATTCTGATTATCTGCTATTTATCTGACTGTTGCACCACTCCGGTGCCTGTGCCTCGAACGTGGCAGTGGCGGCGTATTAGGAAAGTAGAGAGAAGCCAGTCTTCTAGTCCAGCCCACTGCTCAACCAGGAGACCGTACACCATTTTAGGAAAATGGTTGTCCAATACCTTCTTTAAAACCTCCAGTGTTGGAGTACCTACAACTTTTTTAAAAAAAAATTAATTGAGTATAAAAATTAAAAAATAGTGAACATGTTGGTCGTCTTTGATATACATTTCTTGACAAAATATTTTGCATTTAGAAATTTTCAAAAGATATATCCATTTATATACATATATACATTTGAGCTTTGTAGTTCTTTTTCTTATTTTTCAAATAAAAAGTGGAGCACCTACAACTTTTGAAGACAAGCCGTTCCACTGATTAATTGTTCTCATAGTCAGGAAATTTATCCTTAGTTCTAGGTTGCTCCTCTCCTTGATTCATTTCCATCCATAACTTCTTGTCCTGCCCTCAGGGACTTTGGAGAAAAGCTTGATTCCTTTTCCTTATGTCAGCCCCTCAAATATATAGCTTTCTGAACTGATTCCAAAATCAATTCAAATCCATCAAAAAGAGGATAACACAACTGCAGAGTGGATTCTCATGGATACAATTATGGAAAACAGCTTTTAGTTTTCTTCTGAATTTTCTTCCAAGTTTTTTTTTTCTTTTTGAAGTTTGGTAACCTAAGATCTATCATTCAGCCACCTCTTCTCTAATGGTAAATATTTCTAGTTCCTTCCATGTTTTTTCACTGATCACGCTAATTATTCTTAATGATCTTCTCTAAACCTCCTTCCTTTGTCCAAGTCATTATTTAAGTGTGATCTAAACTAGACCTCATATCTGAAGTAGTCGGGACAAATTACAGTTTATTTTGGTCAAAGACACTTAACATTGAAAGAATTAAGTAACTGTTGGCCAGTCTGGTGAATTAAGTAACTGTTGCCCAGTTTAAAAAAGAAAGGAAAACCAGATATCAAATATTAGCTGAAGGAATACCGCAGAATATTTTTGTCACTAGTATTTCTTGGGTGACCTGGGTCTCTAAAACTAGGAAACTGAATGTTATTTCTCTCAAACTAAGATATAGAAGTAAAATTCTAAGGTAAAAATAAGTTAAATAATATCAAATGACATCAATCAATCTCTCTATATCTACTTATATAACAATAGCAGTAGCAATAGCACTTCAACTTACATACCGCTTCACGGTGCTTTACATCCCTCTATAAGCAGTTTACAGAGTCAGCCTCTTGCCCCCAACCATCTGGGTCCTCATTTTACCCACCTCAGAAGGATGGAAGGCTGAGTCAACCTTGAGCTGGTGAATTAAACTGCTGGCAATGTGCAGAATTAGCCTGCAATACTGCATTCTAACCACTAGACAACTACGCTCTTAGATAGTGACTTATAACTAAGTGACAGTAGCACTTAGACTTATATAGCACTTTACAGCCCTCTCTAAATGGTTTACAGAGTCAGCCTCTTGCTCTCAACAATCTGGGTCCTCACTTTACCGTCTGCGGAAGGGGGGAAGGCAGAGTCAACCTTGAGCCGGTGAGAATCTAACTGCCAAACTCTAGGCAGCTGGCAGTCAGCAGAATTAGCCTGCAATACTGCATTCTAACCACTGCGCCACCATGACTATATATTGTATTTGATGACTATATATTGTATTGGAATAAGGACACCTGCCCAAAGCAGGTGTCTTTATTCCATCCTGACTAAATGGTTGTCCAATCTTTTCTTAAAATCCTGCAGAGATGGAGCCCCCACAACACCAGGAGACCAGTTATTCCACCGACTAACAGTTCTCATTGTCAAGAAACTCCTCCTTATTTCCAGGTCAGATCTCCCTCTAATGAGCTTCTACCTTTTCTGACCTAGGTTTCCCCAACACCACCAAGACGACACCTCATCCCGATAAACCCCTTTTATTTAGTTTACAGTGAAATTCCTCTCCAGCAAAGTCCCAGCCAATAGTCTTTCAAGATAATTCACAGTTACAGATCTTTATCAGGCTTGGAGAGTTGCCAGGCCGATATCTTTCAGGTGCCACACTGTAGCTGACAATAATTGGCAAGAATGCAGGAACTGATCTTCACCCAAATGGACTAATTGTCTCCTGCAAAACCCTACTCCCATTTTGCCCCTCTTTTGTTCCCTATGGGTAGGGCCATTCACCGTCCACCTGTGGCTTTACTCCCAAGTTGACTCTTGTTCCTTAGCTGTTCCCTTCTTCTGGCAGCTCTGTGCATGCGCACACTGGGAACAGGCTCCAGCTGCTCTTCTCCCTCACTGATATCCAAAGCTGAAGGCAGCTGGTAACTGTCAGATGGCCCTGGCACCATCTCTGCCTCCGATGCAGAGCCCTTGTCAGAGCCTTCCCCAGACTCCAGGACTGGCCCATGTTCCTCCCCAACCTCCTCATTGTCCGAATCTGCTGCCAGCTCCGCTGGCCACCGGCGGGCCACAACACCACTGCTTCTTGTCCTACCCTCAATTGCTCTGGATTTCATTCAAGAACGCCAAAGATTACCACTGATTTTGAAGTCTGCAGTCTTCAGGAAAACGTTGATTATCACCAATTCCAGGAGCGCTGAGCTCGATAGAAGAGATGGTTGGTTCTCATTCTTCTCTCATTGCTTCGCTTGAAAATATCCTATCTTGTCCAAACAAACTGTTTCGCTAGGTTGCCGTTCACTCTATTATGTGAATCCAGAAAATGGATTAATTCAGTTAATAAGCATGCTGGGTGAGCATAGCCACTAAGCCCAGCTACTGAAGCAGAAAGCTGTAATTTCTAACCCTTTTGATTTAAATTATCTATCTGTGCTGCAATGCAGCATTCTGATTAATTTTATGTCTGTGTTTTCATTTCTCCTGTTTTGCAGCTGTTCCATTGGCTCCTTCAATTTCATTGTTTTATTATATTTGGGTCAACCATGCTAGAATTAATTTTATGCTACCGTTTGGTCTCTTTAATAAAAAAAAAAAGTTTTTAAACACAGGTTTCAGGTACATTGCCAAGGGAGAAAAGGTGACATATAAATTGATGGATGAATGAAAAAAACTGAATAGGTAAATAGCCGGATTGTGTTAGGTGCCTTTTATTTTTCAATAGGATAATCAATTCACACAGATTCACTCTTCCCCAAAACAATGCAGGCCAAAAATTCGATTAAATTTTGGCTGCTTTCCAAAGCAACTTTCTATTTTGAAGTCCTTTTTACTGCTGTCACAATATTCTCCAGCTAGTGGACACAGGAAAGAGCCATGGATAAACCTCAAAGAATTTCCCCAATTATCTGCAAAACATAAGTCAGGCAAAGTCCTAAGCTACAAGATAGCTTAGCTGGTTAGAAGATGAGCGGCTCTATAAACGTATTGCATTGCACTTGGCTGGTTTCAAGAAACGCTTCAAAATGGATCTTTTTATTTTGAAAAAAGACCTCCAAAATGCTTGCTTACTTTGAAGCGTTCACCAAGTCACCATCGCCAGTTGATATGAGATATCCCCATTATATCTCCCAGGGATGAAGCATCCAATGGAGGTTCCTACATGTTGGCTGAGCTTGTTGAGAAGCAGTTTTGGGTCACGTACAGTCTGTGTACCTGCTTGGTCCTTCTAGCTGCCCTGCTGTTGCAATTTCAACCTTGCCTGCTAATCTGCCAATCCATCTGTGATTGGCAGGAAGAGAAGCACCGTGATCCAACCTTGGCTTTTAACTGCTTGGCATAAAAATGACCATCCAAACAATAGGAATTGTATATTCTTCCGCAAATGCCAAGGAGCTCATTGATTCTTCCCTCTTGATCGGGTGGTGGTCTTCAGCAGGTTCTGACCAGTTCCGGAGAACCGGTAGCGAAAATTTTGAGTAGTTTGGAGAACTGGAAAATGCCACCCCTGACTGGAGATTTTACAGTCTCCTTCCCCTGCCACGCCCACCAAGCCACGCCCACAGAACCGGTAGTAAAAAAAGTTGAATCCCACCACTGCTCTTGATCCCTTGGCTCCCAATCTCTTTCTCTTTCTCCTCCTCATCTTCCTTCTCCTCCTTCTCCTCTTTCTCATCATCATCATCTTCATCATCATCATCCTCCCCTTCCTCTCCCTCCTCTCTCCCTCCTCCTCTTCTTTCTCCTTTTCCTCCTTCTCTCTTTCCTCTCCCTCCTCTCCCCCTCCTCCCCTCCTCTTCTTCCTCCTCCCCTTCCTCCTCCTCCTTCTCATTCCCCTCTTCCTCCTCCTCTCCTTCCACTCCCTCCTCTCCCCCTCCTCAACTTCCTCCTCCTCTCCTTCCTCCCCTTCACCTCCTCCTCCTCATCATCTTCCTCCTCCTCCTCTTCCTCCTCTCCTTCCACTCCCTCCTCTCCCCTCCTCCTCTTCCTCCTCTTCCTCATCCTTTTCCTCCTCTTCTTCCTCCTCCTCCTTCTCTCCTTCCTCTCCCTCCTCCTCCTCCTCTCCTTCCTCCTCTTCATCTCCTCCTCCTCCCCTCCTCTTCCTCCTCTTCCTCCTCCTCCTCTTCCTCCTCCTTCTCTTTCTCCTCTTCCTCCTCCTCTCCTGCTTATTCTTTTTGGCTGCCAACGCCTCCTAAAATTTCACCCGGAGATTTGGAGCTCTCCACTTGAGCCCCATCTCTTTTTAGACTGTTGCAACCTTTCTGAGATAAACCCTCTCTAGACGCAGAACCTTGAGAAAGAAGAGGAGGAGGGAGAGGAAGAAGAGGAGGAGGAGGAGGATGCCTCTCTCTCCCTCTCTCTCTCCCTCCCTCCCTCTCTCTCTCTCTCTCTCTCCTTCTCCCTCCCTCCCGCTCCCTCCCCCTCTCTTTCTCTCTCTCTCTCCGTAAGCATTTTTATTTTTATGTCTTGCAGGGACATGCCGCGTGATTTAAAAGGTGAAGCGAGCAAGAGAGACAGAAAGCTTGACCAATTTATAAGCCAAAACTGTGGCAGCCACGAATTATCCTTTGCTAATGTCCTAAGTATATTATCCAAGTGTGAAATTATTTCCTGTAGGGATGAGGGGTGAGCCAAGTGATTTGTGGTGCCTCTGTGTTTGCGTGCCTATGCGCCTGTGTATAAATAAATTTTAAGGCCTGTTGTTTTTACTGTTGTTTGCCACATCTGCTAAATGTTAGAAAGTCTTCAAGCCCTTGCAGAGAGGTGAACTGCAGGGGAGAAAGGACAGGAACTGTCAGGGCTGGGGAGAAGGAGAAGGAACCGCACAACGGCAATTACATTTGCCGAGCAGTATGTCTTTTTGGGATATATGTGTGACCTTTTTCTGTTTGTCATTTCCTGGGCACCACACCAAGTGTTTCCCTCAGGACTTTGGGCTTTGTGGAGCAAAGCTCCCCACGTCCCCAGCAGTGGAACTGCCAAGTTCCAGATTTCTGGAATGGCTTGCAGACTTCAGTTAATTGCCATC